TTGCGACAAAGTGGGATGTATGCAGTGGACTGCATGCTTTTGTTGAGACACCTGAGGTGGCTTGGTCATGTGAGCCGTATGGATTCGACGCGGACACCAAAGCAGCTATTATATGGTCAGCTGCATGTTAGAAGCTGCATGTGGGGAAAACAAAGTTACGTTACCAGGGCATGGTCAAAGTTAGCCTTTCACGTTCTTATGCTGATTGCAGGTCATGGGAATTGAAGGCGGTTGATCGGTGTACATGGCACGATCTGATAACGAATGCATTTGCCGAAGTGCTGGAGAAAGACCTCATACATGCAGAGAAGAAGCGGCAAGGGCGGAAGCGGCAAGCACCGATGGGTTGTTTTTCATCGACATCAAGTGCATGTTGCTGTAGCACGTGCGGTCGCGAGTGCCTTAGTCAGGCAGGTTTAGTGAGCCATGAGCGAAGCCACTCGGGACCACTACGGAAGCGACGAGGGGGCTTGAAGAGAACGTAGTCAGAACCGGCGCAGCGTTTGTAAGTATGCTGCATTCGATTTAATAACCGCTTGCTTACATGCTGGGTCTCGTTAGTTGAGGTGGAGGGTTTGCAGTTTTGTCTTTGTGCCTTTTTGTCATAATTATCTCTGCCTGTACTATCTTCTATCAAGATGCACGCGTCGCTTAAGCGAATTGGTTAAAGCAGCAGCAAATTGGGTGTTACCCGCGTGAAACCACTGCACGCCATGACGCGTTTCGAGGTTATTTCCTCTCATCAGACAGAGATAGCAGGCATCGGTTGTTGGCGGTCGCAGCTATTTTTGGCGTTCACAACTAACATCCCAATGTTCCGGGGTTCGATGCCTGCTATCTCTATCTGATGAGAGGAAATAACCTCTAAACGCGTCATGGAGTGCAGTGGTTTCACGCGGGCAACGCCCAATTTGCTGCTGCTTCATCAGCTACGGTCCTAGTGATCGAATGGCCAAGGTTCACTTCAATGGGAATCGCGGTCCAATTTGAGATTGCGCGTCGCAATTCGTCCACACAACGTGTACTTCAAAGCGACTTTGCAATCTAATTGCGGTTACTTTCGATAATATTTTCGCGCCTGTGGCTTTCCCGTAGAATATACCTTCTGACCTCGTGAAGTTTTCTCGGATTCGTTCGTAAACAATTTATTTCATATGCTCACTAATGTAAGATTTGTGTCACAGTTTCCTTACGTAGTACTCCATTTATTTTATTTTTTATCTTTCTGTCAAGTGATTAGTTGTTGTGTAATATCCCTGGTGTGCCTGCGCTTGATGTGCATATTGAGAAGGTGCCGATCTCTGTATTACCCACTCACTACCTGTTACATTCTGTCTCTAGGAGATATTTGGTCATTGCTGGAGGGGACGGGGTGCACGGTCCTTGTGGCCGTGTTAGAATCAGGGAGTGGTTCCATGCACTAAATGTGGAGCGGGCTATGGTCCAGCTACCGCCTTGTGTGTGCTTGCTTTCCCAAATACTGCGTGCTTGTGTTTGTCTGTGATGCGGTGTGTGCAGACTCCGTTGATGAAACGTGGCTCCCATCCACATGCATCCCGGTCTTATTGCTTCGGGTTTGCATTGGATGTGGGATGTGTGCTTGGAAATGTGATTGGCGCAGCGCAAATCAACCATGGTCCGTCTGTAAGCGCAGGCCTCCTGTGTCTGACTACAGTGACATGCAAATCCGAAACCGGATGCCGCCGCATATATATATATATATATATGCATTATAAAAGTTCCACTGCGTTATCTCCTGGCACAACTCCACAATGTCAGTCAGACGAGCCAGTTTCAGCACCTTGTTTCCTAATATAACTGTAGTGGTGTACATGAAGTTTGAAACCGGAGAAATGGAAAGTGTGCTCCCATAAGCCTGCTGATCCTTAACTCCACGCTTCTGCCCATTTTCGTTGCATTCCGGATGAGATGAAGTGAAGAAGAATACAAGTGACTTTTTACCATCAAATGGCTAGCGCCGCAGTTGTCGGGTACTTCTTCAGTTCATAGATGTTGTGACTGCGACGGAAATATTTAAAAGTCGTGACGTATTGCGAAATGTACTACCATCCCAGCACTGCACGTTGTGATAGGTCAAACGTCCGTTCAAAAGGAAGTATGGCGGCAGCGAGCCTCGTTGTCTCCTAATGGAATACAAATAATAACGTATGAATTGGACACAGGTACTCCAGGCCGGTGGTCCACACTAGTCTGCATGTCACAAGCGACTCATAAAATAGGACCAATTAAATGATTATGAATGCAGACGGAACCTCTCTATTACATCTAGTGACTTGACTGTTAGCCTCAAGGACTTGTCCATCGATTCACTTCATTACGAAACACATCACTTCGCCACAACAACTGCCGTATTTCTAAATGCCACAGCATCGTTGAAGCCAGCTCGACAAGGCCAATAAAATTGGCGGCGCACGAATTTCACTGGGGTAAATCAGGCAAATACGGAAACCAGCCAAACGCCGTTCGCTCATTTACCGATGTCCTTGCAGATTGTTGTGAATAATTTACAGCGGGATCTGCGCATGCGGAGAAAATTCTACTTCTTTGTTCCTACTGTTCAAAGGACAAGCGCATGTCGTCTTTAATGTGTGCTTACGCTACTGGTGAAGGACACCCAATTCATATGACAATAAGGCGTGGTACTTATGATCATCAGAGTTGCTCAGAATGCAGTATGACCTCACAGGCTATCCACCAGTTATCCTGCAGATGTGGCGAGGATTGCATGGACTGGGTTGATAGTTAACTGACTAGAAGTGTAACTGAACAAATCCAAAAGTGTTTAAAGCAATCGATGTTGCAACCAGGGGGTATGAACTTTGCATCGATTACGAACGCTATAATTACGAACTGGCGCGAAACCTGGCCCCTAAGATCGGCGGACATGAAAAGGCTACTTACGTTCGACCATCGGTGCCTTCGCAGTTTGGCTCACATCTGGTGGGAACACCGCGTGAGTAACGAGCGTGTTCGACGCCTTGTTTACGGCCTAGGAAAAGGGAATGAACCGCTCAGCACCGTCATTTCACTCACCAGGCTCCGATGGCTGGGCCACGTGTTGCGCATGCCAGCCCACCGACTCCCTCGACGTGCGTTGTTTGCTCACTGGGGATGTGGGTGGAAGAAGAGGAGAGGTGGCCAAGCGATGACTTGGTCCAGAGGAATGAAGGCCCTTACTTCGGAGCTGGCCTCAGTTGGAGCTTCACGGCTCCCTGGTTGGGGTCCAAAAGACGGTGACCACGTTTGGCTGGATACACTTGCTGATATGGCAAGGAGCCGACCTCAGTGGCGTTCGTGTTGTGAGTTTCTTTGTCCCTCCCCATCCCTTTAGCCTCCCCCGCCATCTACGATCCTATTTCGTAGGGTAAAACGTAATTAACTTTTTGCTTTTGCCTAGTAGCCGGCTAGTAGCTTACCGGAACGATGCGTATCCGTTGCTGGTAGCTCAGCTGGCATTCAACTGTCGTATTTATTTTTCCTTTATGTATTCTATGTATGTATGTATTTCCTTTATGTATTGCGGTACAATAGCGGAGGTGTTTTACCATCTCTAGCCGACATGTATAATGATGATGATGATGATGCTTAGTGGACCCGATCAGCTCAAGCACTGCGTTGCCGCACAAAACGAGCCCAAAATGTTTGATAATTGGTGTGGCATTTGGTTGGAGTGTCTCATATCATACCTACTTATATGTGTTACTGAGTTTTACACAGATGTAACTACTTATAAGTCACGTGAATTGCTTCAGAGACAAGCAGAAGCACTGGAGACCTTAACATATCGTAATTTAAAACTTCTCATTGCGCTAAGGGTCGAATTCTTATATTAACCGAGAACGCGCTAGTACTGAAAATAGATGATATCTTAGTTAACCGAATACGGCAACAGCGTCATCTAAAATATCACTATCATCGAATACATGTGAACGTGAATATTCGGCAACAGTAGAGAGTTGCATCTCTGAATATCATTATTTCAAATCAGCGCAAAATAATGAATAGTTCACCGACGGACCTTACCTAGTAGGTATTCGAATTTGTCCTCACGTTAACTGATGCAGGACAGTCGGATAAAGTTAAAGAATATGCAATAGCAACGTAAAAGCCAAACAATTAGTTATATTCTGACAAATGCTGTCTGTCATCCACCACTCGAATGTGGAACGGAGCAGCGCCTTATCTCTGTTCAAAATGGTCGATTCATTTTTTCAGGGAACTGGACACCATGGCCAAAAGTGCAAGCTCTGCAAATCACTAAAATAGCTGTTTTGCTGATCAATTAATTACAGGATAACTGCATAACCACCTTCAGTGCAAACAGGCAAAAGGTGGCCGAAGGGACAGCAAAAATCAGCTCAGAAGAACACACGAGGGAGCATTTAATTCAGTGTGTCAGTGGTCAATGCGATTCGGTGCTGTTATGACGGCTATAACGAGAAGCAGAGAAACTGTCATCCGAAACTTAGGCAGTAAAGCAGAAAAGGGTGATTGCCATCTGCTAGAGCAATACACATTGGCTGTAGTAGAGACAAAGTTACCGAGCGATAGTTCCAAAACTGAGTGCTAATTTCACGCTGTTCTTGTTTTAATAAGTACGGAACCTTTTGCTAGGAATGAACGGACTTAAGATGAGCCATAGGAATAGTGAAGCATAGGTTAATAAACTACACTGTATTTGTCGGACTAAAAGGTATAGTAGTTGATTAATGCTTTATTAAAACAGTGACGTTAATGAGGCATATAATTCACGTTAAGACGAGCCTTTAATGTGGGTGATAGTTCAAGTGTAGGTACAAACAATGCACTAATTTCCGCTTCAACCACAAAGAAAACAAGGGGATGTGTAGCAAATAACAGTAAGAGGTTATTACGGAGTGACATCGGTTTCAGACCAACGCGATCATATTGCCCTGAACATGAATCCCGGCGGAAGCAAATGAAAGGGTAATACTGGGGATGGAAAGAAATTTTCTCACCTGTTCGATCACAAAAACAGTATACGACAACTGCTGATGGCGGAAATACGTGTGCATGTGATTGAGAAAGACACGTAGATGCGCCTCGCGATCGCGGAAGGGAATAATCACTGCGACTGTTTGGCGTGGAAGACATTCCACCGGAGACCAGAGACCGGGAGATGGAGTGCCACGTTGACTGAAGTTGTGAACATAAAGCCAGGTACCCAGTGAATCACTAATCCGACTTCCGGAAGGTGTTTGGGGAAGGGATCGTGCCGACTTAAGGTATTTGGCACGCAACTCCTTCCATGATGGAACTGTCCGGTTGACCTGGATTGCACCCACTAAAGATAAGGAGATTAAACGAAGTGAACATACTACTAAAAAATAAACGCTTATGAATACAACTTATATACAAATGTATGCAGTCGGGAATTATTGTAGAGCAGTTAATTAGAATCTTTTGGGCTGTCCAGTGTTAACTGAGGTTAATGCGTTTTCGACTCACTAACTGGGGCTGTATACCGGTGGAAAGAACAAAATTCATTGCAACTACATGGTAATCACCTCACACCGTAAGGCTCAGACAGCCGTACCTCTTTACTTGAGGCTCCTTGCACTATCCATGGGTAGGTAAAAGGGAAATCACTTTTAAGCGGCAAAAATATTATCAAACCGTTACATCCGTTGTGGGTAGCCGATTGTGCTCGAGTGTTAGTCACGCCTAGGTCAAGGGCACAAGATTATCAGAAGTCCCACCTGCACGGCATCTGTTAAACAATAGTGGAACCTTGTGAAGAATAAGCGGAACTGCGACAAAAGATATGAAGTCTGAAGTGCTGCTAGCCCATACCGTTGCTCGTAAATGCACAGCAATGCTTTTTATTCCAGTGGAATAGCGAGAATCTCGACTACTGGTAAACATTTGCGAAATTTCGAGAATCCACCGTGTTTTCCTTTGCAAAAGTAATACATTAAAAGATATCCGTACCTGTACGCCACACTGTTGAGGTGGTTAGAAGAATGCTCTCGCAATCTGATAGCACAGGGAACCAAAATCTTTCGACAACTTACCGTTACAAGTGAATAGTAAACGGATACCAATGAATTTTAAATGTTGACTTGAAATATGAAACCCAATTGTTCTGCATTTTGAACTGCGAAATAAATAGAAAATTAATTACAAATACACTTTCGTTCCAGATATCGTCACAGTTCACTTAGATCGACTTAAATGTCTGTTGGAACGCTGCTCTTCGCCTCTGCTCTCTGTCACGCCAAACCAGCCGGGACAAAACAAATATCCGAGCCTACTAGTCCGAAGTATATTAGACACATAACACGCTTCATTGCATAGGTCACATTCTATCATATCCGGTTGTACGTTGTTAAGCTGACTCACGCCACTGGCCTGGACAGATTCCAAACCAGTTTGCGGTCCGCACTGGCCAGCTGTCTTCCCACTCACTCACGCCTGTCGCGTAGCAACCTGTGTCATGACGGACCGATCGCATCAACTTCCCGCAGGACTTAGCCATGCTACCGCCGAATGAGCAGCAACCCGTGTCTTGACGATGAACTGATTTCATCAGCTTCCGGCGTGACTTAGCCGCGTTACTGCGGGCCATTTAGCCATCCTTGTCAGATTGACGGACCTCTGGAAGCCATGTCACCATGATAGGTTGCGACCTCCGATGAATGTGCAGGTAAAACTATTGAATATTTTCCTGTATGCGGCTGTTATGCACTAGTTCTTCGAATCGGAACAATCACTTCCTTTATAACTTGTGTCTATTAGGCATAGTTTGCAAGACACCTTGGTGACCGAGACCACTAATTTGCACCTCATATTGTGTGCCATGGTTGTAAGGAAATGCTTTGGGACTGGATAAAATACAAGTGCAAAGAATTGCCGTTTCTCCTCAAGTCAACTTGTAGCCATTGTGATCGTCCTGGCCTTCGGGTCGGACTGCAATGTGAGTCATTCCCTACTTGCAGCTCCCGCTGTGATCCACGTAGCTGCTTAGCTCCGTCTTCCAAACCAAAAATGTCTTGCAGGATGTTTCACGGTAAGGATGGCGGTTCTGGCGAAAAATGAATCGCCATGATTCGACCTCAGCTGATTACCGTGCCTGGCCAATTTCGCATTTCCTACCATTAGCTCGTAGGTGACACGACCATTTCTGCTGATCACTCATCCGGTGGACCACCTCCTCAGTCCTTGAAATTCTCGCACGTACGCCATGTCATCAATTTGAAACGAGGGTACCTGTCTGTTAGATTTTCCTCCACTTGACAACGGCAGTGCTTTTTTTCCTGTTTGGCACCAAGTTATCGCAAAATGTCTCGATCTTTTATCCAAATAATATTTCGGCAGGGGCTCTTCTCTCTTGGGCGTTTGGTTTTGGCGCATTCCGATACATGCACAGGAAAGATTGGGTCGCGTCCTTCGGGACTTTGTTTTGTCCCGCTTTACAAAGAGCACATCTGATGGTGTTCACGAACTGTTCCGCCTGCCCATTTGATTGCGGATGATAGGATGGTGAGGAGATCCGTTGAATTCCTTTCTCCTTGCAAGACTAGCGAAAGGAAGTTGAAGTGAAACTATTGTAAGACTTATCTGTTCAATTTCTTTGACACAACCACTGTCTCCAAACATCAATCAATTGTCCACAAAGGACAGTGATCCATGTCGGTTGAAGAAATGCCGCGTGTTAGAAGAGATACCACCTTTGAACTGCCCTGTTGGCAAGTAATGTATCACTTTCTCTAGGGCTATGTCTCGGGAAGTCTCCGCGTGAATAGTGTCTGTTCTTTCTAGTAATCTTCTTAATTTATCAGTCCGAATTTGTTGAAATTCGGACTCCAACCTGATGCATGCAATCACACAACCCTCCTTCTCTTTTGGGTACGAACTGACGAGATGATACAGCACATTCGCTTTGGCCGATACTGTATATTGAAATGGTACGCCAACAGTATTGTCGTCCATCTTTGTAACCGACTCGGTAACAACCGGTAAAAACGGGAATTCCTTTATTTGAGCCGAATATCGACAGTAAACACTTATGATCATTCAGGAGGGTGAAATGCCTGCCATGGAGTATCTTGTGGAACCGCTTCGTGGCGAAAACGATTGCGAGTGCTACCTTTTCAATCTGATTGTAATTCTTTTCAGCCGAGGTTAGGGACCGTGCCTTGTGTGCAGTAGCCTTCTCTCCTCCGTTCGGAAAAAGGTAGGAAATAGCGGCGCCGGTACCTTAATTGGAAGCCTCCGAGGCAACGATGATTTCCAACTTCGGATTAAAATGAGTCAATAGTAGCTCAGAAGTGAGTGCTGCTTTAAATGCGCCAAAGAAATGCTGACATTCCCTCGTTCATTGCCAAACATTATCTTTCGTCAGCAACTGATTCAGCGGACCTCGGATTTAATGCAGCCTTGGTAGGAAAACACTATAATGACACGACGTATTTCGGACGCTTTATTGGTTTTTTACCTTCGATATTAGAGGGATTTGGGCGCAGACCATGTTGGTCTATAATAACCCCGAGGAATTTAACACCATCTAAAATTCAACTACCTGGGAAGTTGTATCAGCGCCCGTGGGATTGAGGATCGTATCACGAACCGTATAGCAAAAGCTCGGGGCGCTTTTGCTAACCTTCGCCACTTATGGCGCCGGCGCGACATCACTCATGCCCTGATGGGTAGAGTGTACAATATAGCGGTACGTTCGACCCTACTGTACGATTGCGAAACCTGGCCGCTCAAAACAACGGACCTGAAGAGGCTAGTTACGTTCGACCATCGGTGCCTTCGTAATTTAGCTCACATCTGGTGGGAACACCTCGTGAGCAACGAGCGTGTTCGACGCCTTGTTTATGGCACAGGAAAAGGAACTGAACTGCTCAGCACCGTCATTTCACGCACCAGGCTCCGACGGCTCGGCTAGGTGTTACGCATGCCAGACCACCGACACCCGCGAATTGCGTTGTTTGCGCGCCGGGGGTGTGGATGGAAGAAGAGGAGGGATGGCCAAACGATGACTTGGTCCAGAGGAATGAAGGCCCTCACTTCTGAGCTGGCTTCGGTTGGAACGTCTCGGCTCCCTGGTTGGTGTCCGAAAGACGATGAACACGTTTGGTTGGACACACTTGCTGATATGGCTAGGAGCTGACCTCAGTGGCGTTCGTGCTGTGAGTTTCTTTGTCGCACCATATCCCTCTTACCCTCCCGCCCTAACCACAATCTCATTATTTAGCCTTATATAATAGTGCATAGTAATTTTTTTGATGCACAGTAGCCGACTGGTAGTTTACCGGAACGATGCCCATCCGTTACCAGTAGCTCAGCCGGCTTGCAGCAGTTGCATTTTTTCTCCTTTTTTCTGTGTATTGCCGCACAGTAGCTGAGGTGTTCCCCACCTCTAGCTAACGTGTATGATGATGATGATGACTGCCAGAGTGGAAGTTCTGCCAGCTGACCGAAAGAGAAACTTGAGTATGCTGACGGCAAAGATCTCCTTCGTTCGGACGTGGTGGCAATGCAAGCACTATTGGACAGGCCAAATCATAACGCCGTACGCTTCGGCAGGTGATTTGCACCTTTAAAGCGAAAGTACTGCTACAGGAGTGGATCCATATGACACCGGTTTAACTATTAACGAACAGCCACTAGAGATGATGGATCGGTTCACTTATCTTTATTGATTCTTGTGGTCAAATTACTGAGGATCTTACTTTGAATATCAGCAACACCCAGTGGCTTCCACTAGGCTCCACCAAACCTAGAGACGGCAGCAAATAAGCCTATCAGCGAAATTGGGGTGCTTAAAGATACCATAAGACCAGTGTTACAGTATTGATCAGAGACGCGGTCAGTTTGCAGTGAAGATATTGAACGATTGACTGTGTTGGATCACCGGTGTTCGCGGAGTACTGCTCCTTTGTGATGGGAACACGGACTGATCAATGCTGGGATCCACCTGCTAGTTTTGGTAAGAAACATTCTGCTGCCTCACTCGGTATGCTTAAATTCAATCGATTACATTGTCTTGGGTATGTCCTTGTTATTTCTATTGACCGGCTTCCTCTTCGTGCATTTAACTCTGTGGCTGTACCAACTTAGGCGAAACGGCCAGGTGACCTATCTACGACGTAGTACAAAAGCACGAATAAATTGACTGAGATACTTTGTCAGGCTGGTGCGTGTCGTTTGCGCGGATAGAGTTC